TGATTGTGGTTGTGTGTGCTGTGTGCGTGTGTTTGTGTGCACTTGTGTTTGTGGTTGTTGTTGTGATTGTGGTTGTGGCTGTGGTTGTGATTCTGGTTGTGGTTGTGGTTGTGGTTGTGGTGGTTGTGTTTGTGGTTGTGTTTGTGCTTGTGTTTGTGTTTGTGTTTGTGCTCGTGTGTGTGTGTTTGTGTTTGTGTTAATCGCTGTGGTGGTGTTTGTGTTTGGTTTTGTCATGTTAGTTGTCGTTGTCTTCCTGTTTGTGTTTATATTTGTGGTTGTGGTTTCGTTTGTGTTTGTGTGTGTCTGTGTGTTTTCCTTGTGCTTGTGCTTGTGGTTGGGTGTGTGTGGTTACGTGTGTGTGTGTGTTTGTGGCTGTGGTTGCGGTTGCGTTTGCGCGTGTGTTGGTGTGAGTGTGTTTGTGGTTGTGGTTGTGGTTGTGTGTGCGTGTGCAGTTGTAGTGTTGTGTGTTTGCGTTTGCGTTCATGCGTGTTTGCGTTTGCGTATGCGTCGAGAGGGGGGCGCCGCTTGGATTTGATGTTTTACGCCGCGTCGCCACGCGAGGGGGCGCGACAACAAGAAGTACGTGTGTGTGTGTGTCGAGGAGGTGGGGTGGGGAGGGGGTCGGGGGGGTCGTGTGTGTGTGTCGTGTGTGTGTGGCTGTGGGTGTCTGTGTGTGTGTCTGTGTTTGATGTGCGATGTGTGATGTGTGACGAGTGCGTGTTTGTGTGCGTGTGTGTGATGTGTACGTGTGTGTTGTGTGTTGTGTGGTATTGTGTGTTGTGTAGTTTGTGTTGTTGTGTGTTGTGCGTTCTGTGTGTTGTAGGTGTTGTGTGTGTCCTGGATGTTTCCTGGGTGTGGTATGTGTTTGATGTGTGCGTGTTGCGTGCTCTGCGTTTTGTGTGTGTGTGTGTCGTGTGTGCGTGTGTTGTGTGAGTGTTTTGTGTGTTATGGGTGTGTGTGTGTGCTCTGCGTTGGGGCTCGATGTTGCAAGGATGTGTCAGGCGAAGCTGCCGTGGTATCATGTGCAAAATCATTGAACCCCCCGTTGTGCTCTCGAAGGCTTTGGTATGCTAATATGTCTGTCAGGAGATTCGGACCATGGCGTCACGATCTGCGTGGTGCGTCCGATGTTCGGAGCGGTGAGAGTGCCCCAAGAGAAACGGCCAGAAGCACCGCGGAGGACACCAGCTTCGTGCCTGTGCTCCGGTCGCTCGGAGAGGCGCGCATGATGATGCCCACGTACGCGTACAGACGCACACGGCCACCGCATCCTGATCGCGCACCCTCGTGACACGGGCCGACCGTACACGCCAACACATCTGGTGACCATCTCGTCTGGGAGCGCCCTGGGCCCGCCGGGGGCGCTGCGGGCACCCTTCTGGCACGCGGCGCCCCCTGGGCAGTGTCGTGCAGAGGGCGTCGGGCTCCAGCTTCACCTCCCACGTCTGGCTCGACAGCGCCAGCACCCGCTGCCACTGCCACTGCCAGCACGCGCTGGGGGGGGGGGGTTCTCCTCCCTGCCTTCTGGGCGCTGGCTCCCCCTAGCATCGGCGCAGGAGCGCGGGGCCATGCGGCGCGCCTGGGAGCGCGTGCAGTCGCTGCGCACAGACGCGACCTGGGGCCGCCTGGGGCAGGGGGGGGCAGAGGCGCACGAGGAGGAGGAAGGGGGCGGAGGGGAGGTGGAGGAGGAGGACGACTAGCGGCGACGGGGAGCAGGAGGAGCGAGGGGAAGAGGAAGCGGAGAAGGAATGAGGGAGAAGAGGCAGAGGAGGAGGAGAAGGACACGAGGAGGAGGCGAGGAGGACGCCAGGAAGTAAAGTGGCACCGACGAGGAGGGCGGATGAAGGGTAGGGCCGTCTTTCTTGTGTGGCCAGGCTCCAGGACAGTTCTGAGAAGGCGACGTTGAGGGAAGAGGAAGGAGGAGGAGGAGGAGGAGGAGCAGGAGGAGGAGGAGCAGGAGGAGGAGCAGAAGGAGGAGGAGGAGGAGAAGGACGAAGGTCCAGAGTAGATTTGTCAATTCACCACCTGGTGCCGCACAGCACTCGCCCGCCCCCAGGCCTGTCCTCACGAGTCAAGCTGCAAAGGCGGGGGAGCCCATGGGCCCACATTGCAAAAACCAATTGTGATTGAAATGCACATCAACATCTGTTCGACCGCATACAGTCAGAACTCAGAGTAAGGACGCGCGGATGTCCCAGGGTACCCTTGCGTCCTTTCCTTTTCGGCCCGTCCTTCGCGGTTTTCACTGGCCAGCCCTTCCGGGTGTTGGCAGTCCGCCGCTCAAAAAGTGCCAATTTCGGCGTCCAAGGCCCTTGCGTCCTTACCGCTCGTCCTTACAATGGATTAAGGCTGTAACGCTGAGAACACCATAAGCTGGGAAAGAGATCGCCCTCCGCCCATTCCCCAATCAGGACTTGCACCCAGAGATTACAAGAAGAATTTGGCGAAAGTGTCAGGCCGGTTTCGGAATGCGGTCGGGTTCCCGGTATCCCACGTCCCGAGGTTGCAAGGATGAGACGAAAATGCCGATTTCGGTGGGCGGCCGGATTCCTGGATTCCCGCGAGCGTGTTGTTGTTTTCGGAGGGCGGTTGAGTCCCCAGGCTCCCGATTTCAAGTCCTGCGAAATCATGTTCGCGGCAGTTCCAATGGGCTGCAGGACTCCAGCGTTCTTAGGGCAGACAGTGTAGGGAGCAAAGAACCGACATAGTGAGATCCGATGGACATTTCAGAGCACAGGGAGGTAGAAGAACGAGCACCGAGAGCAGAGAGTGAATATCAGAGCGCAGAGAGTACATAGCAGAGCACGCAGTGAATATTGAAGGCCGCACAGATATCGGGGAGTACAAAACAGCCGGCGGACAGGCGAGAGTAGAGATTAGAGGGCGGACAGCAGACAGTGGAGGGCAGACAAGTGTAAAGAGGGATGCGCATAGTATAGAATAGTGGATGCAGAGTAGAGGGTGACATGCAGAGTGCAGAAAGCAGAGAGGGTAGATATCAAGGGTAGCCACACTCGGTGCCCCTGCTCTCGCCAATCACCTGTGCGCTGCCTGTCTACGCTTTACGCATGACAAACTGATCGTGGCGTTCTCTTGGTGAAGGCTATCTGGCAGCAGCTTTGAGGGAAAAGTGAGAAAGGCCGAAGCGAGGGCACGAGTTCGAAAAGGAACCGCATCCGTACGCGCGGTTGTTGATCAGGTCAAGTTTCATGTATATTTTGTCGCGTGGATTTCGGTCCACCCCGCCACCCTGCCACGGCCGTGGACAAGAGGCCTTTTAGAGGCCTCGTAGGGGTCTCTTGGAGGCCTTCCGGGGGCCTCTTGGAAGCCTCTTGGAGGCCGCTGTGAGGCCCCGTCGTGGAGGTCTCTTGGGGCCTCAGGGGCGTTTGTTGTGGGCCTCTTGGGGGCCCGCCAGCGGTCCTGGGGGACATCTTGTGAGAAAGGCATCAAAATGTCAGCTCGGGTTCCCCTTCCTGGGACCGCTTAGGGGCGGTCTTGGGCCGCAAAGGATGCCCTCAAATTATGTCAGCACGCAGCTTGAAGACATAAGAGGAGAGTTACGCCGTACCGCTGCTGGTTTGGCTATGTTTCGTGTAAATCTTGCTATATGTGTATGCACACCTCTCTGAGGGAATGCCCGTCTTTCCTTCTTGTCCAGGCCGTTTCGCCTGAGACATCCTCAACATTCTGAAACCGGAGGCACCCCTCGCATAGATCTTGAACGACAGGTCAAAAAAATCAAAAGTTCAACCAAGCATCGTTCAAACACACACCGCGGTTTCAATGAAGTCCAAGACACTTATTCCAGGAACGGCCGTTTCGTTTGGCACATCCCCAAAATTGAGACCAGTCGTGTTAAAACATGTCTTTCGGTTTTCCAAACGGCAGTTTCATTAGATGATGCAACCCAGGAGCGCCAGCCACCATACTGGAACCACCTGGCCACGCCCCCACCCATTGTAATTCACCTCCTCCCCCCCTCACCCTGCAGCTGTGTGGATACAGTGGAAAGGCCACTCCAGCCTTGGATCTCCAGAGGGGGGTCCAGGGCAGGGCCTCGAGTGATTCCAAAGGTCCCGAACATGGTGATTCAAAAAGCGGCCTAGCGGCTTTTTCGCGCGAGACCTCTCCCCACAATTAGAGCTCCCGTACCCACAGTGACCAATAACCAGGCGTGTTGGGGATGTGCACACAAAGATTCGCCTTGCCTTGGCTTCAAGTTGTCATCGGCATCGTCGTCGGTCCGATGGAGAAAAAAGCGTGTTGGCCACGAGGTTGCACCGACAATCCTTGGAGTCGTGGGTTCCGGGAGTTCCCGCCCCAGGCACCCGGAGTGCCAGCCACCAGCCCCTTCCTTGTAGAATGTTCCGCCGACGCCGCTCGGGAGTAGCAGCCGCCAGGTGCGAGTTGCATGGCCACACGCCCGCCCGTAGCAATTTCACCTCCTGGCCCTCCTCCTGGAGCTGATCGGCCGAAGCGGGGGCAGCAACTCCGGCCTAGGGAGGCCTGGGGCGACGAGCAACGGCAGCAGCGAGGACAAGGAGCAAAGAAAACGAGTGAGGCATAGTGCGATTACCCCCGAGAGCCACTGTGTCACGCTGGCGATCGCAAATTTCCGAAATACCAGAGCTCTCACGTCGATCACGGCGTCATGGTCCGAACGCCTTCATAGAATTGGTTTGCCCTTCGCGCCCCGTGTTGCTTACATCCTACAGCTCGATGGCTATAGGCCTGGACGCTCTGCGTGCGGCACTACTTTCTTCAAGTATCAGCCAGCGCAGACTCGAATTCGACCAGGAGGTTGACATGACGTGGGCGCATTCTGCGATAGACTGGATTGGACGGGCGTGGACTCTAATCCATCCTACTCTACTCAAGTCTACCCTACTCTACCGTGCCCTGGCCTACCCTATTATATTCTTAAGCTGCTCTAGTATTCTCATACTCGCTCTAATAAAATCGCCTCTACGCTGTTTCACTCTATTGCACCCAGCGATACCATCCATATAGTCCTACCAACTACCTGGTGCAGCAGCCGCTCTGGGACTCCGCGGCGCAGGAGCTGCGGGCGCTCCTCGGCCCCATGCCGTTCGCGCGCTCGGACTGGTGGCCCAAGTGGAACCGGGTCGTCAGAGCGAGCGACGCCTCCGAGCGAGGATTGGCATTTCGACGAGCTCCTGGAGCGAGGACGAGGTGAAGGCGGCCGGCCCCGCCCGGGAGTGGGATGGCTTCCGCGACTTGCGAGCGGCGCGGGCCCGGGCGCACGCCCTGACGGCCGCGGGCCTGCGCGGGCTGGCAGGGCTGGCACCGGCCGCGGACGTCGAGCCGCCGCCCGACGATTTCGACGGCCTGGAGTCCGCGATGGCCTTGGACGGGTACGACATAGACCCGCGCTCCCCTGAGATCGCACCGACTTGCATGGCGCACAGCCGCTGGGTGCGTCGGTTTTTGGGCGCGTGGAAGGGAGGGCAGCCCATCCTGATCTTGGAGGTTCGACATCTCGCGGTGTCGCTCCGCAGAGTGACGCTGAGCTCGTTTGGAAAGGATGTTCGCCAGGGCCTTTCCGTCGATAACATGAATATCTGTCTGATCTTCGATCGCTTTCGGGGGAAATTTCAGGTCGTCGAATCAAACCCGCGTCTTTGCCGCTTACTGTTCAGCCCACAATAGTCTAAGAAAGTGCGGACTGAGTTCCAAGTGAACCCCGCAGTTCGGACGAGCCGAGTCGCACTTGCGATGCCTTGCCCAGTGCATCGCGCCTGCTCGCCCACCACCTGAAGGAGGGCCGATCTCTGGCGAGGGGCCCTGGGGCTGGGGACGCAGCTGGCCCCGGCAAGGGGGGCGATTCTAGATATACGTTTAGCAGCTGTCTGTCTGGACCGAGTCGCGGGCGCAAACGTAGCCGCCAGCGCCCATCTCGCCACGTCGTGACAATTTTGGTTCAGACCTCGGCGATTCGCGAGTCCCTCGACGCAATTGCAGGGCGGACCACGCTGCCCGCGACGACGCCGGCGGCCCGGGGCGCCGGGACGACGGCCGCGGCGCCCCTGGACGGAGGGCCCCGGCTCCCTCGGCGGCCAGCTCGAAGCGCAGCCGGCCCAGCAGCGCGCGCCGGCGGCCCGGCGGCGCGCGGCGGGGCCTCCGGGGCGGGCCGCGGCGACCCCGGCGCCGGACCCCGCCGCCGACGCGGTCGCACCTGGCGCCTGAGGCCCAGGCAGCGCTGGACGGCGCCAACCTGGAAAGCCCCGGCGCGGCGGCCGGCTCGAGCGGGACGTCCGACGGGGAGACGCCCGGGATCGCGTGCTGGAGCGCCGGCGGAGGACGCGCCATGCCTCCCGCGAGATCTCGGGGCGCCAGCCTGTTGAGGGGCCGCGCGGCGACAGCGCAGGTGGCCACCGACTGCCCGTCCAAGGTCGGGAGCTTCGCGCAGCGGCTCGGCACGGAGGTCGGAGCGCTCGACGACGTCGACGCTGCCGACCTCGACGGCGAGCTCGCCAGCTACTTCGAAGCGCCGTGCTTGAAGGCGAACAGCCGAGCAAGGGGGCGAAGATCATTGCGGGCCTGGCGCGCCCGGTGCCGGCCTACATCAGGCTTGGGGATCGCAAGGCGCCTCGATCGCGGAGGGGCCCGCGAGGGCGGAGGCGACTCTGCCCGCCCTGGTCGCGGAGGCCGGAGCCGCTCAGCATGTGGCGCGCGCTGCGCAATTTCTTGTTGTCGTTGGGCCGGCCGCCGATGGCGCCGCTCGCGACTGCGAGCCTCTGTGAGTCATTGCGGCCGGCCCAGCCGTTGAGCCGGGTGCCCGAATGCCTTCGACGGCGGCATCGACGCAGAAATCGAAGCTGGCCGCTGCCCATCAATCGCGAGGAGCTGCGCCGCCCGAGCAGGGCGGGCGAGCGCGACCTGTCGCTGGCGGCGGATTCAAATCGGCCCCAGCGGCGCGGGCCGTTGCTGGAGGAGTTGCGCGTCCGACGGGCTGGCTTCGGCGCGTGGGACTTCAACCGCTGCCAGTGCGGGGCGAAGTTCCGCGCCGCGGCGATCATCCCGGGGCCGAAGGAGCTGCGCCGTACCGGGCGCGCCACTCAGGCGGCAGCATCAACCGGGCCTCCATAGCTCGGAGCGCGGCCGAGGCGAAGCGACGCGGAGGTTGGCGAACAGTCAAGTCGGCGGCGGGGTACGAGAAGGTTGCAAGGCTGAGCCGCTCGGCGTCGCTCACCCCCAGCGGCAGCTCAACCGCGCGGCCGACTACGAGAGGGGGCCCGAGGGCATCTCGATGCCCGCGCAGACCAGGCCACCACCCAGGGGCCGCGGAGGCATCCCGCTCTGCTACTTCGCGGACGCGTTCTGCGGCGAAGGCGGCCGCGGCCGAGCGGTGGAGCTGAGCGCATCTATTGCGCGCTATTTCGACCTTTTGAATGGGATCTGAGGGGGCGCCCTGAGACCTGAAGTAATGAATGGGCCGATCGCCGACATTCGCTCGGGAGACATCATCGCAGCGATGGC